AGTAGAAGGCATTTGACTGCTTTAGCTGAAAAGTCCGTAGCAGAGGCTAGCTAACCACTTGCCCAGGCTGGCCTTGACCTACAGGGAGTCCTCCTGCCTCAGCCTTCCCAGTGCTGAGATTACAGTCTCACACCACCATGCCCAGCTTAGCCAGTCATCTCTGAAAGGAGGAGTCATGAGTGACTTAGAAGGTGGCCTGTAATACATCTAGTAGAGCCATCATGTCTTGTAGCCATGTTGGAATAATCAGAACTTTACATTCCTGAAGATAAACATGTAATTTTACCTTATTTTGCTCAATTAACTTGTTCAGAAAACCAAACTGGCAAAGTCAGTGTAATATTTAACATTTTAATACTGATGTTGTACATTGCTTTACTTAACACCAGGAGAGTAACTGCCTCTGACATCAACACAAGATATTTTGTTGCTAATGTTATCAGTTTTATAAAATGGCAGTCAGGAAATGAAGGGATGCCTATTATTCAACCTTTTTAAAAAGCTGTTTTAAACCTTTAATAAATAGCCCCACAGTGTAAATAAAAAACTGAAAGCCAGATGTGGTAATGCATTCCTATAATTCCAACACTTGGAGGGGCTGAGATGGGAGGATTGCAAATTCAAGGCCAGCCTAGATTTTAGAGGGAGACTCTGTCTCAAACAAAACAAACAGCACCAGGGATTTAGCTCAGTGGTTCTGCCGCTTGCCAAGAACCAAGTTCGATCCAGTACCCCCCAAAAAAAACCAATAAAACAACAACCACAAAAACAAAAGATGAATGAAAAAAATGAATTCACTGAGTTTAATAATAACATGGGTTTATTCTTATGCTGAGTGCACTTTGGCTGATAAAGGCTGGGTTCAGCTTCACCCTGTTGGAGCTGCCAGATTTGGCCCTTCCCAGCAGCCTGGGCTGAGGGCGCTATGTGTTCATTCAAGGTCCAGGCTAAATGGGCATTAACTATAACAGGGCGAGTTCGTCTCATGGCATTTGACCCAGGTGCAAGAATGGAGCTCCAACCACTCAAGATCTTTTTAAGCCTGACTTTTATCATGTTCATTAACTGAGCAATTCAAGTCACAGGACTGAGCTCAAAATCAAGCAGTAGAAAGTATATTTTGATGACCAGAAGAATATGCAAGTGTGTGGGGTATATCATTTTATTACAGGAAATGACAAACTGAAATAAATAGTGAATCTCCATCATTCCTTTTTTATCTTGCTTCAAATTCAATATTCCTTTTACTTTCATAATATTCAATAGAACATAGCTTCTAGATCTTTCACAATACCAACAACTTTTATCTATGTGAATTTTACTTCTCCAGCATTTCCGTCAAATCACAATGCTAACAACTAAACACAACCCTTCACATGAGGATTGATTTTGCCCTGATTTTGCCTAGTGGCTTTGGTGGGTTTAGCAATAGTGGCTCAAGTTTTGAACCTTACCTAAATAAGAGCACTGCTCAAAAAACAGAAATGAAATGCTTGGGAGAGGTTTTAAAAAATATCAGCTATTCTTTTTTATTGAATAGTGAAGATATTTTTCTTTTAAAGTGTAAGAGAGGTCATTCAAAATGATAAACCCAGATTCCCCTCTCTAAATTGTGTTCTGTAATCACCAAGGACCAAATTCTCTACCTAAATTATATTTTAGTCCATAATAAAACTTATAAAGCATATAAATATCTAATTTCATTTAATTCTTAACAATTCTGAGCTGGGAATTATTTCTACCCTTCCCAAAAGAGTAGGCAACTGAGAGTCAGATGGAACTACTATACTTCCTGTGCCCAGTGAACATTGTCTCTTACCTTCAAGCCTATAGGGAAGGAGCCTATCTCCTTTCTTGTCTGCCTAGCTAATCTTTATCTTTAAGTAAATCTCTACTCAAACGGCATTTCCTCCATGACCTATGCTTTGCTTTCATCACTAAATATTTATAGAGTGCCATCTAGAAACAAGGACTCCACAAGGTGCTGGGAACACCACAGTGAAAAGAGGTCCTTGAATGTACATGGCTTAATACATGGCCAGAGACATTAAACAAGCAAGCAGCGGCACCACTGAGCTAAATCCCCAGCCCTACAACTTTTTCTTCTACTCTCTTCTAAAAGAGTAATTTTACATTTCAGAGATCCAAACTAAATGCTGAGATTCCATCTCACTGCAGAAAGAACAGATGTCATCAAAAAATAAATGAATAACAAATGCTGGCAGGATTACAGGGAAGAAGGAACCCTTCTCCACTCTTGGCAGGAAAGTAGACTGGTGCAACCACTGTGGAAATCAATGTGGAGATTCCTCAAAAAAACTAAAACTAGAGGTCAGTTGACCCAGCTATTCCCCTTCTTGCTATCTTCTCAAAGAATTGAAAGCATCATACCACTGCGATATACATATATGTTTATAGCAATAGTTTATAATAGTTAAATCTTAGAAACACCCAAACGCCCATCAACTGATGAATGGATAAAGTAGATATTTTTACAGTGGAGTACTACTTAGCTATAAAGAAGGATGCACTTGAGATATTTTTAGCTAAACAGATGCATCAGTGAAATAAACCAGACACACGTTTAAATACCCCATTGTCTCTCTGGTGTGAGAAACTTAAAGTGCAAATAAGGACCAAAATGTGTAACAGATATTAGGAAATGGGAAGAAAATGTTCAAATGCAAAGGGGGAAAAGGGAAGAGTAGGGGAAAAGGAAGGAAGGGACAAAAAAAAAAAAAAAAAGAGTAGGAGGACCCAGACTTATGTACCCTGCAAAACTATCTTTCAAAACTGATGGACAAATAAGATACATCCATGACCAAGAACATCTGAAGAAATTCATGACTACCAAACCACCACTCCAAATGTCCCAAAGGATATCCTAGATAATGAGGACTACAACTCCATGAACCCCAAAAGAATGAATCCACCAGGCAAAGAGGTAATTAAGGGAGTAATTTTAAACTGGTCTTTCGAAAACAACTCTGTTCACTATAGGGACTTAGCACCATCTAGTGGAACAAGCTGGAGAAATTTGAAGATGGAAGAAAGCTTTTTTAGCAAGGTAACAACAGACTTGTGTATGAAAGTATACAAAACTCTAGCAGCACTCCTCACATGGCTGATTTATTAATTCACATTAGACTCCAAAAGAATCTAACTATTACTACTATATTTGTTTTAAAAACCTATCTTACCATGTAATCATAAACAGATTTGCCAGGAATATTCTAGTTATGCAATATTTCCAGTGAGGTTTCCACTGCCATTATAAAATATCTACAAGGAAGATAATTTGCTATGTTAAATTAGGCATTACTAAATAAGAATGGCCCATTAACACAGTTCCCTGTCCTCTAACTTGTAGCCAGAGTTAAAGGGCCTTGATTTTTTGGGGGGTGGAGCAGTACCAAGGATTGAACTCAGGACCTCATACTTGGCCAGGCAGGTGCTGTGCCACTGAGCTAAATCCCTGGTCCCCTTGATTTTTAATTTGTATCAACAATGGAAAGTCAAGAGCTTTCTGAGAACTTTTAAAAAGGAAGATTAATTTGGTGGCTGCATACAGGATGGATCCACATGCAAAGTGTGGCAAGGAAAGAGTTACTAGCTGTAGGATAATGGCAGTAATTTAGACCGGAGATGCCAAGGCTGAAATGAATAGGAACAAAGGTCACCTGAGAATAGAGATGGATGGCCTGGTGTGGTGGTGCAAACCTGTAATCCCAACACTAGGGAGGCTGAGGCAGGAGGATCGCTGTGAGTTCCAGACCAGCCTGAGCTACATAGCGAGTACCAGATCAGTCTCAACTACATAGTGAGATCTTGTCTCAAAAAACCAAAAAAAAAAAAAAAAAAAAAAAAAAAAAAAGAAAAAAAAAAAAAAAAAAAAAAAAAAAAAAAAAAGAATGGAGATGGAATGTCCACTGGGTTTAGGTGTCACCACAACATATAGGATGTCTCTCAACTGCAGCAATTTTCTTTTTTAAATTGGTCATTCCTCTTCACACTTTTCTTATTATTTTAAACTCCTACTGAAGTGTTTGTAAGCACTCACTTCTTTTGTCTCCCTCCACTACACCACAAGCTCCTTTAGGAGCTTTAGCATGGATGTTAATAACAATGTAATTGAACAGCTGGGCACAGTGGCACACACCTGTAATCCCAGCTCTCAGAAGGCTGAGGCAGGAGGATCAGCATGAGTTCGAGGCTACCCTGAACTGCACAGTGAAACTGTCTCAAAAAAACAACAAAAAGAACAGATGTGTATGTAAGGTTACTTATTTCAGTGGTATAACTGCTGCAGAGATAACTACAAATGCAGTGGATTTTTTTCCTTCTATTTCTTCGTGTGGAACTTAGGAGAAATGTTATTCAATTTATACATATTATTAAATTAAATGTTTTGTTTATTGCAATCGGTGTCACTTTTCAACTGATAGATGAAAGAGCAATTTGAATTGAGTTGCCCTTCCATATGCTATCTTTGGATAAAAAGATCAATTCATCAATTAGTCTTTTCCTCTCAATTTCAAGATTAAATTATAAATTACAAATTAAAGCTTAGGAGGGCCAGGGATTTAGCTCAGTGGTTCAACCGCCTGCTTCACCAGTGCAAGGTCCTGAGTTTGATCCCCAGTAACAAAATAAATAAATAAAATAAAGATTAGGACTTATACTGAAGATAGACATAGTATAACTGAAAACACGTACCTTATAAAAATTAACTTGTAATAGTTCAACTATACAGAAACACCACTAATATAGCACAATAAGAAGCAAATATTATGTAAGCTAAATTGTACTCTGAAATTCTAAAACACTCAGCAAAATTTTTATTTTCCTAGGTCCTTCACTTTACAATGCCTAACCGTATTTCGCCTTTAAAGGGATAACATAAATTCCTACTGACACAAACTCCTAAGATAAGTGAACTTCATTAAGGATGAGTCAATTAAGAGTAGAAGCCTAAACATTCCTAGCTACCAGAAACATACCTGAATTGAGGAAGAACTGAGGGGAATCTCCGTGAATGCCCACTGTGCCTGGGCCCAAGGAGTTAGACAAGGTATTCACAAAGGAAAATACTCCGCTCATGATTCCAAAGCCCAAGCCAGAAACTAAAGAGAAAGAAAACACAGTCAAATCCTTTTCCTGCTATGAATTCTCTTCAAATCAAATTTCTAAGGACTAAGAATACTATTTTGCTGAAGGGGAATGGACACATGCTGTTGCTGAGGGGAAGACAACTGACTCTGGAAAGGTGTATGACTGGCTAAATGATTAGCAAAGAGGAGAAAATGAACAACGGAACATGGCAGAGAAATTTCAAAAGTTAAAAAAAAATCTAGAAAAGCACAGAAGAAGCAGAAGCACAGAAGAGGATACAACAGTGAAGCTCTGGCTTGTGTTAAAATTGAACAGAGTCTACAGGGTAAGTTTGTTGGCTCAGAACTGGAACTGAGCTTGGGGGGATAATTGTACATTTTAAGGTGTGATCCCTGGGCCAGAGAGAGTTGACTCAACTGAGGGACCTTGATTCAAGATTTAAGTGTAAGTTTGAAAGCACAACATGCAGAGATAATAACTGCATTGATATAAGAGCGTTCCTAATATAGCCAGTGTCATGGTAGTAATAGTTACAACACCTCAAAATTGTTAACTAGGAAAAAAAATTAACTACAGTGTCAAAATCCTAACTTTCAAACATGGTTAATATTTAATGAGCATACAGATAAGGATCATCGATAGTCACTTTCCTTTATATAAGGAAACAGGAAAGATAAGTAAGGAGAGACAAAGGCAGTAATAAAATGGTGCTTGGCATCTATAAAGATATAAAAGATAAAAATGGCTGTTACGTCAAGTCTAATTTTCTTTTCTTAATGACACCACACAGTTCTAACTCACCATAGGCCAGCAAACGCATAGAAGGTGCTGTCTCATCTGGGTTTATGCTCTTCAAACCCTCACTGGCTTTCCTAAAATTAAACCACACATTAAAAAGAAAAAAGAAAAAGATGTATATTAGAAAAGTATATAAGACACTTCCAATCCAGATATTTACTGAGGTTTCTGATTGGGTCATATTCCTCTAGATGCCATTTAAATAATACTCAGCATATTTTCAAGTTAAGTCAACTGAAATTTCCAACTAACTTCTTCCTTTTATGTGATGATGTTCATATAAAAGAAATATACAGTATATACAAATAAACAAGTCATCAGTGATTTAGCTTAACAAGAAAAATAGCAATACTCTATTATATGAGGTCAATGTTTATCTCAATACCCTGTGGAATTTATCACTCTGAATTGTTTTCTCTTCCCCAGAAAACTAATTTTCATGTCCATTTTTCTAGCACTGGGCTGTATCCCCACTAGGACTACACTTACGCCACCATCCTCCTCTCTGCCTTCTACTCTGTAAAACCAAACTCTGTTCTCATCTGGTTTAGACAGGAATTTTTTTTTCTTTTGGTAGTGGGGGACTGAACCCAGGGTCTCATATATGCTAGGCACACTCCAGTCTCTAGGCAGCGATTTCTTAAAGCTGCCTCTACCAATGGTTAGTAATCATTAATCTTTCCTTACTCTTAAATCCTATAAAGGGTTTAGCATGGTACTTAATCATATGGTCTTCTGATTCTAAAATATGTTATATATTTATTTCATAACACCTATTAGGCTTGAGGAGAATATACTCTCTATATATTCTTTTTACTAATACTCAAGTATACCTTAATACTCTTACTCAAGTCTATAGAATAAAATGTTATCCTCAAGATAGGGGATAAATGAATACCTGAAAGGATAAAAACTGCACGATAAGGAATGATCTTCAGTGTGACCGTATCCATGCTCCTGCTATAGCCAAGTCACATCCTCACCATGAGTCCTATCACCCATGCAGACATGTTAGCAATGCTAGGTGTGGCTGGTCAGTTCCACTGCTGTCACTATTACTAAGTGGCTGGCTAGACACTCTCTAACAGTATAACAGTATATTTAAATTATACTTACTATAAAGTATGTTTCTTAAAATAATAAAGGAATAAAAACACTTTAGAATGATTTATCAGCAAGCACTGAAACATAAGGGAGTTAAGACCAACTCTAAAAAGAGACAAATTAACCAGAACATAATTGTTTTTCTGGGCATTGTGTTATTTTAAATTTCAAGATACACATATTCATTATATAGTTTATTCTTTACACAAATATAAATATCATTGATTACACTAAGGCAATGCAGAATTCAACCAGAATAGTAGTATACATAATGAAAAGGGTCCTTTGCTTTTGTAGACACCAAAGGAACAAATGTGCTATTTTGGTGGTCTCCAACAGGAAGAGGGTTGGGTTGCCTGCCAGGACAATAGTCAGAAATTCAAGTGATTATCTTCCTATTTCTCTGGAGTAGTAACCAATGAAACTGTCCACTTTTCCTAAACAAAGTTATCTGTCACAGGGTTGCTAGTAAGGACTAATTAAAGCTTACAAGTTGTATACAAAATAGTAATAATCTCCATTAACAAATGCATCCATATAGTAAAATCAATAAATTTTGGAGGATTTCATTTTTAAATAAACTGTTCAAGAGTAAATAAAAGGGGCTGAGGATTGTAGCTTAAAAAAAAAAGAGTAAAAGACATTCACTATTTGGTAAAATACTGCTATCATAAATATATTAAATATATTAAAAATTCAAAAGTTTAGGGAAGTTCCTCATTCTATGTTGTGGGAGGAAACATTCAGGCACTCCCAGTTCTCAGTGTTAACATCGGGAAGTGAGAAAGCACAAATCATCAGTTTCCTTGTTTCTGATAAGCAACAGCACATGACTGACCATACAAGAAGCAGTGTTTTTAATCTGATCATTTCAGTGAACTGGTAAATTTGTGTGTGCTGTTTTCCAAGAATAAAAATGAAAAAGGAAAAATTTTTAATTCCAATTTTTAAAATACAAACTTTTAAAAACTGATAAATCCAAGTCTTTCTCATTTGTTCTATTCTTTTTTGAATTTATGCATGAGAGGAAGAGTGTTTTCTTTAAAAAAAAAAAAGGTGGCGGGGAGGACAGTATCAAGGAACATGAACACAGATTGTACCATTTTAGAAATTTTAAAAAACAGACTGCCTCTTTTAAAAAAATGTAGCAGGGGTGAGGGCACACATCTGTTATCCTAGAATTTGGGAGGCTGAGGCAGGCAGAGTGCCCTGAGTTCAAGGCCAGCCTGAACTGCACAGACTCTGTCTCAATTTTTGAAAAAAAAAAAAATCTGTAGCAGAACTGGTGGCATAGTTTAATGAAAGAACTTGAGAAATGAGTTCAATACCTGCATTGGCAATACCTGCATTGCGGCAACAAGGGTTTTTTGTATAAATGATTTTCTAGAATTATAAAATATTTATGGTATCAGCATTAAAAGAAAATTAGGTTACAAAAGTTTCAATCCAAACAGAAAATTTCTAATGTCTAGACATTTTAGGCGATATAAGGGTTGCCTAAACTGTCTGTTTTAGGGAACACATGCAGTGTGTGCAATATGACTTTTTTTTTAATTAATGTAGAAAAAGCTATGACTTGTAGCCACAGGCCAATTTATCACTGTGCAAAGTTTTACCAGGCTGAAAATTACTATTCATAAAAGAGCAATTTAAATTAACCATCTAAATTCCAGTCATCAATAAAGTATTAGAAAACTGCCAAACTTATTGTAATACAATTACATAACACTTCTAAAATTTGCTAGGAAAATTCTGTAGAATATTCCAAAGGCTTATTAAAAATGCACTGTAAAAATACTACAAACAAAGGCATCTGTTAGCACAAGTAGAATCTAACGTGGAGCCAGGGATTTAGCTCAGTGGTTTCACCATCTGCCTTGCAAGCATAAGATCCCAAGTTTGATTTCCAGTACCCAAAAAAATAAAAAATAAAAATTATAGGATGATAGTTACTGCTGTATACTAGATACATTTTTTTGTTTTAGTTTCTTTGTTGTTGTGTTTTTTTAAGACAGGGTCTCACTATGTAGTTGAGACCAACCTGGAACTCACTATGTAGTGCAGGCTGGTCTCGAATTCACAGTAATCCTCCTGTCTCAACCTCCCAAGTACTCGGATTACAGGCATGCACCACCACGCCCAGCTAGACACATTTCAATCACAGCTAGATGTCCATCTCTTAGGGATACTATGTTCCTGTGAAAATTAAGACATTATTTTTCCTTTGACACAGTCTCACTTTGTGGCCTAGACCGGTCTCAGAGGGATATTCCTACCTTTGCTTCTTGAGTAGCTGGGACAACAGGCATATATAACATGATGCCTGACTTTAAATGGTACTTTTGCTATTCATTTGTTGCTCTTTAATATTTCCAGGGACTAATAGGAATTTCATTTTTAAAACTTGGCTAAGAAATTGCTTTTGTTCCTAGGCAATGCCTTCCTGGTTTTCAATTTGTAATGTATAATTGCTTCATTATGAAAAGAGAATTCAAAATCTATTACAACAAGTAAAAAATACAGGTCTACTACATTGGCAGCAAAAAATTATCAGAAACCTATTAAGAGATGTTGCTGATGTTCAATCTGGATTTTGTCTACTAAGGTCATGGAGAACTGTAATTATCTCATTTGCAGAAATGAAAAAAAGATGACATATTTATCACTCTGCTAACTCCCACTATATAATCAAAGCCACTTTCATAACTGTCTAAAAGGAAATATGGTTCTGAGTTCAAGTTGAGTTTCAAACCAGTGATTCCATGTGAGGTCCTCACAAGGTCACAGAGACGATGTACTTCATGGCCCCAAAACAAAGCTTGTGCACAAGGAATTTTTTAAAACTTTTTATTTTATAGATTTGAAACCACAGGAAATACCACAAAACGAACCCATTTTCAAAATACTGTAGCAGATGGCATAATCTCCCTAAGAATTATGAATTTTAGGTAATAGGAAAAAACACAAATTCTAACTGGTAAGAGTTTTTCTTGTTTCAGTGACTTCCCTATACTATTTTTCTACAGGGCATTTCTTCTAACATACAAAGTTATTTTCTTGTCCATTCATTTCTTGACCAGTACAAGGTCAAGCAGGCCAGACAGTCTTTTAAGCACTGATGTATCCTCAATGCCTAGGGCAGTATTTGGTACTGTACTGAATAAATTCTCAAGAAATACTTTTTGAATGAATAAAGGAAAAAATGTCCACAAGTTAAAAGAATACGCAATACTTGCTGGCTGGATATGTGCTAATGCCTTTTAAGAGAACTATGTAGAGAAAAATGGACCCTCAAGTACCACACAATATTAATGTTTCAAACTAGCAAACAGGATTCAAATATAACTGGAAAAAAATAAAACAGACAACTTACTTCAGAAGTCTATAATATGCAAACCGGAACATTTCTTGGATAAAGATGGAGAGCAACACCCCAAAGATTAGCAGATATTTTTGCATTGGTCCATCTTTGTTGTCAGTAATGAGTCTTGCCAGGAACCAAAAAAGTGATGAAATCAGTAAAGACACCAACCAGAAGAAAGCTCTGAAAATTAAGATACACAAAAATTACAAGTGAGCACAAAGACAGGATTAATATTCATTTCAAATTGAAAAAAGAACCTGCTTGGGTTTCAAGAATAGATTTCTTGACTTTTTTAATAAAGAAAAAGTATTATTCATAAAGCAGTGCCCTGGGTCATTTGTTCTTAGAGAAGATGCACCTTCCCTGGTGAGGCCCACATGTAGTCCACAGGGAAAATTGGGATTTAGCCAACAATTACTTGTTTTCAGTGACCCTATTATGCACATCTGCAGAATCTACTCTTTCCTCCCTGGAAACCTGGTTATTCACTACTCTCCTAACCAATGCTTTGCCAGTGATGTGCCAAAACAATAAAACATACAACCTGCAACTATTCAAATTTTTGTTAATTTAAGACCTACTAGAAATTACAGATTTAACCATCAGGTACCTGAAAAGATAGTGCTTTTCTAGAAAAAAAGATTACATCTTTATTAAGAGTAACTGGTATAAAATCCATAGGTTAAAAAGCTGCACTGTGATCTAGGTCAGTTTTTGAGGCCTGGTTCTTACAACACTCCTGCGGATTTTAATGATTTCAGCAAGCTTTAGAGACAGACCATTATCCCAAATCCCTATTGTTTTTAAGTAACAGGCAATTTAGCACTTTCAATACAGTTGTGAGAGGTGAAGTAGTTCAGAAAAATGGGAATCACTTGCTTGGCCAGTGAGGCCCAATGCACACCCCAGTAAGAGCTGTCAAAGAGAAAACTGAGGTTATGATCACATCCACCGCCAGAGTTCGGTATTCACCAAGCTCCCAAGAGACGGTGCCAAGATCAGGTGCGTCTGTTCTCAGAGGTTTCCACCTTGGGCCGCACACCTGAAATTCCTAACGGACCCTAACCTGAGCCCGAATTCCACCCGGCAGACCTCCTGGTTTGGTGGATCCGGGGTGCGGAGCGAGCAACAGGCAGCACCTGGTCCCAGGTGACTCTAAGGGCAGAGGCGAGACCTGAGTCTAGATGCTGACGGCCTTACCCCCTGGAGATTGCAGGCGCTGCTGAGAATCAAGGAAAAGATATCATCCATCTCCAGAAAAATGAAGGATGCCTATGTGAATTTATCCATAATTTCCCTTATTCGAGCCACAAGAGGTCCTCAGCACTTTAGGGGGGTCACCACGCACTAAAGCCCACCTCGGACCTGCCCAGCCGCGGGGTCTCAGAACCCACAACGCGAGGGGGCGCGGGGTCTCCGTTCTCCCCCGCCCCCCCAATCCAACAGGTCGGGCCGTTGGGGGGACCCCAAGGTCGCGGGGACCCCGGCGGGGGAGGGGAGCACCAGAGTCCGGATTTCCCCGCGCAGCAGCCTCACCCGGCGATGAGGAAGATGATACGCAATGGCTCGGTGGCGATGGTGAACACGTAGAGTGCGAGAGCGGGCCCGAAGGCAATGAAAGCGCAGCCGAAGAACACGGCCGCCGTCATGGCGACCGCAGAAGCCAGCGCTGGGGCCCTGAGGGGACGCGAGGGGCAC